AAGGAGGTACACAAATGACTGTAGAAGTGAGGAGGAACCAGGACGAGATAAAGGGGAAGACAGGGGAGATGCCTGGACGGCTCAGCTGCTTCAGCAGCCCAGTCTTGATTTTGGCTCAAGTCATGATCTCAGGGTCCTGGAACTGAGCCCCACATTGGGCTCCACGCTCAGGGGAGTCTGCTTGAGGGTTCTCTCTCTCCCCCCTAGTGCCCCTCTCCCTGCTCACACTCTCTCTCTCAAAAAATACATTAGTTAATTTAAAAAAAGAGAGAGAGACAGAACAGAGGGTCCCACTTTAGATCGGAATGGGGGACGGGTCAAGGAAGGCCTCACTTGAGGAAATTATATTTAGGCTGAGACCTACAGGGTGCGTAGGTGTTGAGGGGGCAGGAACTTGTTCTAGGAGAAGTGAGCTTCTGAGAAGGCCCCGAGGCAGGAAAGATGTGGGAGAGTGGAGAGAACAGAAAGAAGCACCACCCCCTCCTCCCCAGACTGGAGGCATGTGAGTATGAGCGTGAGTGCACGGAGGGGGTGCGGAAAGGAAGCTGGAGGGGCTGGAGCACAAGAGCTTTGTAGGAAGTTGATGGAGAACACAAAGGGCAACCCAGGGTAGAGTTCCAGGGACCCCACTAGGCACCTGTTATAGATTGAATTGTGCCCCCCCCCAAAAAAAGATATGCTGGAGTCATAACCCTGGGACCTCAGAATGTAACTTGATTTGGAACAGATGGTCTTTACAGAGGTCATCAAGTTACAGTGAGGTCACTAGGGTGGGTCCTAATCAAATATGACTGGTGTCCTTATAAAACGGGGAAAATCTGGACCCAGAGACAAACCCACACAGGGAAGAACACATGGGAACGTGGAAGCAGAGATCTGGTGCTACCCCGTCGAGCCAAGGAATGCCAAAGATGGCCAGCAAGCCAGCAGAAGCCGGGAGGGAGCTGGATCGAGGGCTTCTGGCCTCCGCAACTGTGAAACAATACAGTTCTGCTGGTGAAGCCCCCCAGTCTGTGCTTCACCTGTGGTCACAGCAGTTAGCCCTAGCAAACTAACACAGCTCCCGCCCACCCAGAGCAGCCGGCTGCCTCCCAGGCCACGATTCAGAGGTGTTTCCCAACAGGAGCGGAGACCTGGGGGGCTCGGCAGGACTGGCCAACACAGCAGGGCTAAGGTTTGATGCCAGCAGGAACACTCCAGATTCCAGCCCTGGCCCAGCCAAACAGTCTTACCAGTTCAGTGAGACCAACCCTTACAAATGTCTCTCCTTGAGCACTCTTTGTTTGGAGGCATGGAAACGGACCGTCTCCCCAGAGACAAAGGCCCCCCCCTTGGCAGACGGCAGGAGGGATAATGCCCGTTTTAGCTTAGCGTGCACAGACCCCGTCCCCATCAAAGTCCCGAGAGCAAAAGGGTGGCAAATGGTGACTCTCGGGTGACAACTGGCCACCAACATATTTTG